ATCAGATTCGCGCTCAAGGATTGTGGGAAGTTCTGCCACTTCCCCACAATCTTCTGAACGTGGTTAGGTGGTTCTGCCAATCTCCCACAATGTGTTGATCATGGCTGAAGCAGTTGTAACCGCTGATTGCCTTGCCCAAACTCATGGCAAATATTATTGGGGTTGTGCCTTACTTTGACGTGTCAAGGTTAGGGGGCATAAGGGTTGCCGACCTGACAACCCTTTGCGGAGCAACCCCTACTCCCTACCTTATAATAACATTAGGAGACAATTCCCTAATGAAAGCAACATACATCATCTGACGAAAGAGTCACAATGACGAGAGCTTGAGGCATAGTCAATGCATACCACCTAAATCTTTTGTCGAACACTTTTGATACCAAATCAAATACGCGACCAAGTCCTTAAGAAACCATCTTTGCACAAAAAAGGGTGCTTAGGCAAGCACACCCCTACCTTGACTAAGGCATGAGACACTCTTAAGCGAGGCACTCGTATGCCAACCATTTAAGGGGGTAATATGTGCCTAGTTTAAAACAGACAATATTGTATAACAATAAAGTCCAGTCATAACAATTAATGTACAAATCAAAAATTTATATGCATAAAAAAAAGTAATAGCAATTATTCGCAGAACTTAAAAAAAGAAATCTGAAACAGGTTGAAAGACCGCTGGCCACCGTAGGGGGCAGCAGGTGGATTCCAAGTGGTTTCACAGGGACTAATTTATTTTTAGTGCTCGAAACAGACAAACAATTGAAGCTGCTGATGCCTACCAAACCAATGCGATTGTGGTGTTGAGCGGCTACCACTTTTATTGTACTACAAAACATAGTTGTGTTAGTACTACCAGCACATACTATGAGTGGATCCAAATGGCATTCACTCCTTTCAAAAGAAAAAATATCACATGATCAAATTCTGTCTACATCTAAAGAAGACTATTTCAACAATATATTCTGAGAATTACAAGAGAAATATAAGAATAGAATATTATATATGTGTTCTAAAATGCTCGAATACCTCGGTATAAAACCTAATTCACGACCCTTGTCAATAAAATTTGCATATGCAGACATCAATTGAGAGTCCCACTATTTATTATGTTAAGATCTAATTTTGAGTTCGAGTTCAATGAAATTTGAGTAATTGTAATCTCACCCGAGTTATGAATTATTTGAAAGTTTAAGTTAATTCACATAACAAAAATTATATGGAAAATGCAATTTGGAGACCTAATTCAATACAACTATTGGATTGAAAATGAGCTTCATCTAACCTTGAAACTTACAACTAATCCAATAGCTACATTACATTTAAAATATAAAATATTTTATCTAATACCTATAAAATACATATTAAATTATAGATTTATTTTCAAATTCAATTACATTCAAATATTTGAGATTGAATTCTATTGGATTCGGGGAAAATACTATTTAGACCTGATTTGAGAACTTAATCTGAAGATCTAATTCAATGCAACAATAGAATTAAAAATGAATTTCATATAACATTAAAATTTACAACTAATCCAACAATTACATTGAATTACGTCTCTAATTAAATTTACGAATTAAGTCTATATAACATTGTTCTGAATTCCTTGGTCTTAACCGTAACTTCTATCTCCATTAGGCTGTGTTGAAAGCTATTCAACTATCCGTGTGATTGGAATGTGAGCAAAACTATAGTAATACTTTCGTTGAGGGCTGTATGCAAGCCTGTCAATGAATGGGATTTCATCCCATATAATCTGAAATAATATTTTTTTAGTGAAAATTAGAATCAAGGATAATATGATAATTTATTTCCCGAATAAAGATATATACAAACTTATTGGGTTATTCAGGACATATGATGTGTAATATTTGATAAGTAGGTCTAATAGTCTGTTTTTTATTATTATTATTTCTTATTCTACCCTCATGCAATCCGTTGCCCAAGGCTTCTGATCATTACCATGCACCACCTGTTCCTACACTTGCACCATTGGGAGAGAGAGAGAGAGAGAGAGGGTTTTGGGTCTTCTCGATTGAATTATCGCTGGAAACAAATTACTTTAAGTGGGGCTTGTTCAAGTGTTTTTGCATCGTTACTAATGGGAGTCCAAAAGGTTCTCATAAGTGGCTCGCTTTTTCTTGCCAACTTAGATATCTATTGAATTGAAGATGCAATTCTCAGCAACTCCCAGAACTATGTTCTTGAAGATGCAATTTCCAACACTCCTTGAACAGAAAATTGGATTTCGGGGTTTCTTTTGGAAGGCTGCTGGAATAGATAACTATTGATTTGTGAGGCTCTAACATTATTTGGATGTAAGAGGATTCTAAATTTTGTGCCTTGTAGGTGTGCAATCTTGTTATACCTAAGTGTTATTTTTGACAATTTCATGTACGATCTCTCTGTGAATTTGCTATTAAATCATCAGAGGTCGTCATGTGGATTGTTTTGCACTGTAATGGATAATAAATGTCCATGACATTTTTCAATTTATATATTATGCCCAAATGGTGTTTGATGAAATAAATGAGCTAAGAATTTTATTATTTTTTGTGCAAAAATGTTTTAGATCTCCACTTTTACCTTTGTTGTTTTGATATATTGATCTTGAATTTGTTCAGATATGAATGTAAAAATTATGTGTGTTTTTTTTTAAACTTATTAACCTTTTTTTATTAGTGGTTGTTACTATAATCATGCAGCTATCTAATTTATATTACTATCTAGTTCCGCCGAATTTTAAAAATAATTGCAGTTGTTACTGTAATAGTGTGACTTTCTAGTTTCATAGAATTTTAACAATGACTGTAACTGTTACTGTTTTCGTGTTACTATTATTGTGTTCGTGTTGCTGTCTAGTACACCATCACTTTATGTTCTAACCTTGTTATCTTCTATAGCAATTCCATTACCAGTCATCGCCCCTTATACTCCACCCACACGGGCATTGTTATTACTGTGATCGTATTACTATAACAATAATTATTACTGTCTATTTTGCAATATAACTATTTATGTTATTAAGGGTAAATTAATTTTTATGCCTTTAATTATCCTTTAAGCCTCAAAAATAGCGCACCTATCCTTTTTGTCCCAAAAGTCTACAACTGTAGACTGACCTCCAAAAAATCCAATTTTTTTATCCCTAATTCAAATACAAATTTGAATCTATTATTACTATAGCTTACCAAAAATTTAAAATTTGAATATACAGTTATCTAATTCGATTGTGATTCTATTTGAATTATTTTTGAATTTATCCAGCTAGAGGGTAAATTGATTCATATTTTTTAATTAAAATTTTTATTTTCACAAGTTTGAATACAAACTAACCCATGGAGTATTCAAGACAATTCTAACAAGAGTTTTTCAATGGATTCGGATCAACATCATCGCAAACCAAAGTCGTGGACGTCAAGCTTCATTGTCTGTCTAGTCGACCCATTCTATAGAGACCATTGGGACCCATACCAAACGGGAAGTATCCTCCCGATCTTTTTACAGTTTTACCCTTTTTTTCTCAATATATTAAAATTTTAAACTTTACTTTTTTCTTCATCATTATATCTCAACTAATTTTATTAGAGAATAAATCTGCATTAAACCATCCACTAATCCAATATAAGTATCTATTGTTGCTCTACGGTACCAATAGTTGCTCAAGAGTCGTAAATATTTAATTTGATTAAAAAATAAATAAATTATTATATATAAATAAATACATTTTTTTACTCATGTTAGCAATTTAATTATATTAAAAGTAGAAATACGATAGTAAAAGATATTTTTTCATAATGTTACTAACACCCATAATTAAGTGTATAAGACCATCTCTAATGAAAATTCAAATTCTACGTGAACTCAAGTAAAAATAAAAATAAAAAACTTGATTTAGTATAGACCTCTGCAGTAGAGAAATTCAAATTTAAAGGAAGAAAAATTCAAGTTTAAATGAAAACAAATATAAATTTAAAAGATGATAAAATATGACCATTAAATTTTTAAAGAATGGTAAAATCTGACAATTAAAAATTTTGGAATGAATTTGAAAAGAGTAAAAAAAAAAAATGAATCTCCCACATTTTTGATATGGGTGTAAATCTAGTATTATAGAAAGCTTCTAAGAGGTTTTTTTTATTCAAATTTAAATTTAAATTCATAAAAAGATAAGAATTGAAAATATTCTAATAATAATAAACATGTTTAAACTTGACAAGCTCTATCCTCAATATGACGTCAGCACGAGCTCAACACCTTGGGCAACAACCTAATCAAAGCCCTTAACAGAGGGGTGAATCATTATTTATTGTGAGCGATACTATTTAATTGTTACGGTCGTTCAATGTAGAGATAAATAATTAGACGTCAATTACTCTATCTTAGAGATCCGTCCATATTTTTCTAAGTGGCCCCAACTATGATTAAACCCCGTCAACCAAATAGATTTGAATCAAATTTTTAATGATCTAAATTTAAACCTTATTTAAAAAAAAAAAAAAACTTTATTTTTATAGTCCATAAACGAATTATTTAAGTCTGAATGTCCAATCTAACTGGTTTAATTAAAATTAATTTTAATAAATCACACTTACATTTTAACACAGTTTTATCAAATGATGACTCATTACATAATTTGTGTAATCCATTATGATAGAACCGATTCAGATTATAATTTGTTCGGATTAAATGGACATACCTATCTATAACACTCCGCCAGTAAAGAATCCCACGTTACAGGCCTTGGGCCGTTGCCGAAAGCATTTTGGGGAAAAACCTTGTTCTTGACGGGGCCTGTCCAGAAAAAGAACAAACATGCAAACACATCTTTGTATTAACTGTCTGTCTGTCTGTCTTCTATAACTTAGGATAATTTGAACCGCAATAAAAAGGCATAACACCTTGAAAAAAAAACACTCTTTTTTCTTGTTTGTATTACCAGACAGTGAATGATGCTTTCTACGGTTGTGTTATATGTACCTTGTGAACACCAAAGGAAATGGCTCAAGCCAGGCAACCATTCTTGATATTAGCCAAAGGATCGGAGAACCTTTGTTGTTGAGAGAGAGATGGAAAATAGAAGAACACACGGACTTCGAGTGGTGTTAGTTCCACCTCCATTCCAGGGGCACATAACTCCAATGCTTCAGCTAGGTTCAATCCTACACTCCAGGGGCTTCTCCATCACGATCGCACACACCGAATTCAACCCTCCTTGCTCTTGTAATCATCCTGAATTCTTCTTCCTACCCCTTGCGGACAACTTATCAGGCTATGATACATCCTTCTGGAATCTATTAGAGGTCATCTCAGTGATTAACGTCAACTGCAAAGCACCACTTCAACAATACTTGGTTCAAATGATGGAAAAACTGGAGCCACACGATAAGGTCTGCTGCATCATCTACGATACAATCATGCACTTTACAGATGCCGTGGCTAATCATCTGAACCTTCCAAGTATTATCTTACGCACTACCAGTGCTTCCAATGTTCTAGCTTGGGATGCCATTCCTCGGCTTCAAGAAGGAGGTTACATTTCCTTGCAAGGTATATGGCTACTAGAATGGCTTAAAAGATATATTTCAAGAACTATAAAAGAAGAAATAGCATTTTTTGAGAGGGAAAGAGTAGATGTGAAAATCCCATGGTAGATTGGAAAACACAGAATCCAAAATTTTAGTGACAACTATTCATAGCTAAGAAAATCAAGGGAAGAAATGCTACAAACATTTCTCGTGAATAATCATCATAAGATAAACTAATTCAAGACACAGGAATCATTTGTTGCGTTATGAGAGATGTCAATTGAGAACAAAATGTCAGATAATGTTGAAGTGAACTTTTTACAAACAGTACTAATCATCTGGATAAAATGAACTAGATAAAGCTTAACAAATTAAATTATGAGTAGAAATCCTGCGGAAGAACTTCAAACCATAGCCAGAACCTAAGCTAGTGAGTAGCCTTTACAAGAAGACTAGAATAGCATCGACATATGCTTCCCAAGAATCATGCTGGTCCCATCAAATTGTTCTCTTTCGTTATCTTTTTTATGTCAAAATAAAATGAGTTACTCAGTGAATATGCATATCCTATTAGAGCAGTGCTCTGCTAGAGATCCTTCTCCTGGGACTTATCATTTGGTAAGTGATGTTTACTATATAGACTGTACTACATAGCATAGTCGATAGTCTATTATCAACTCCCCGCATAGTTTGCTCAGGAAATTACACCAAAATATATTGACTATCCATAGAACTTGGTATAATTTTGTAGAGCTAATGATCACAGAGACTCAATAAAACGGTTTTTTTAGCATACAATGCATGTTTGTACCACATATGAATCTGGTTATTGTTCTGATGCAGACAAAGCATGCCTTTATCAGGTACATAGTAGCTTTAGGCATTGAATTGCAAAAGACTATCAAGCTCTCCCAGTGGAGTTTAAGGAAGACAAAACAGTACTAAGTTGTTTATTTTATACTATTATCTTAAGAAGTTGGAAAGACTACTCTGTTCATTATACCTAAATCCAATCACAATTAACATTATTTATATGATTACAGAGTCTCTGGCTAATGAACTAGTACCTGAGCTTTATCCCCTCAGGTTCAAGGATCTACCCTATCAAAAACCCTCAAAAGTTGTACTACAGTTCACTGCAGACTTAAACAAGATAAGATCTTCAGCAGCCATTGTGTGGAACACCATGGACTTCCTTGAGCATTCATCACTGTCACAGCTACAACAACAATACCAAATTCCAAACTTCTCTATAGGCCCTATGCACAAAACAGCTCCAATTTCGACCACTAGTCTACTAAAGGAGGACAACAGTTGCCTTGCATGGCTTGACAAGCAAGCTCCTAACACAGTTATATATATGAGCCTGGGAAGCTTGGCAATGGTGGACAAGAAAGAGCTAGCTGAGATGGCTTGGGGACTGGCCAACAGTGATCAACCATTCTTGTGGGTTGTGCGGCCTGGATTAGTTGATGGCTCAGAAGCCTCAAATCAATTTCTTGAGCTCTTTCAAGGTTTTCAAGAAAGAATCAGAGGAAGAGGTCTGGTTGTAAAATGGGCACCTCAAAAGGAGGTGCTGGCACATAGTGCAGTGGGAGGGTTCCTGAGCCACTGCGGTTGGAATTCCACCTTGGAAAGTATATGTGAAGGGGTTCCAATGATATGCAGGCCATGTTTCTCAGATCAAATGGTTAATGCTAGGTACCTCATTCATGTATGGAAGGTAGGCCTTGAAATGGATCCTGTTCTGGAGAGAGGAGGAATTCAAAGAGCTATAAGAAGCCTCATGGTGGAGAAAGAAGGGGAAGAAATGCGGCAGCGAGCAATTGATATGGGGCAAAAAATCAAACGTTGTGTGCAGAAAGGTGGTTCTTCATACAATTCTTTGAACGACTTGGAAGAGTTCATCTTGTCATGGTCATCCTGACTGCCAAACGACATGGCCATGTTGATCGAGTGTTGAAGCGACAGAATAAAACAACCCTGTGAAATCTACTCATTCAATAAGTTAAATGTCTAGACCCTCTCCATGACTTATGATATGATAAAGCAAGAGTATTCCATGTCCAATGTCAACTAAAGGAAGGTCGATACTACCGTGTACTTTTTTTTTCTGAACAGGTATACACACACAAACATTGTTGATGCAAAAGATCGATCAATCACAACACAAAATAAACACAAAAAATCATCCAAAAAATTACTAACCGAATGCAAAGACCTTACTCGTGAACTATCTCGAATTTCTCTTCATCTAAGAACTGAAGTAGAAACACAAGCTCATAGTTGGGCAAAGAAATCCGTTCCATCGAACCTCCAAAACCTCAAAGCTCCGCCGAAATCCAGTAATTGATGACACTTCAAAAAGTAACATAACCAGAGCAAATTAGGGTTTTGAAAACCAAATTCATCTCATAATCAAATCAAAACAAATAATTCAAACACAAATATGTAATTGAGTAATGGTTTCTACCTTCGATAGACTTAAGTAGAGAGAACCCCACTTTTTGAATGTGGTATTTACTATCTTACATGAAAATGTGATTATTCGAATGAGCTAGTGAGATTTATTTTGCTTAATTGTTGAGTTATCATTGGATGGTTACACTATGTGATAATGCTGATGTGGTGTAAATGTTACACCTCATATTTACATAGACATATTTTAATACTATACGCCTTCAACAAAGCCGATAATATAATTATAGAGTTAAGATATGAAAATGATATAGTAGTTAAAACTTAAAAGAATAACTTCTAAGTGAAAAAATTTTGGCCTAAATATTGGGTGTAACGGTTACACCATGTGACAATGATGTCTAATATTTTCTCCCATAAGTGAGGTGCTTGTATTAATCTAGATTCAACAAGATAAGACTACTGACACACGAGGCTCAAGCTGTGTTTGCATTCATAGTTTGAACCATATATGTGTCAAGTTTAAAACAGACAATATTGTATGACAATAAAGTCGGGTCGTGACAATTAATGTACAAGTCACAAATTTGTCAAAAAAAAAAAAAAGAAAGAAAAAGTAATAGGGACTATTTGCAGAACTTTTAAAAAAAAAATCTGAAAAATTAGTGAAAGACCACCGGCCGGCGGCCGCTAAAGGGGCAGCATGGGTTTCCAAGTGGTTTTACAGGAACCAATTTATTTTTAGTGCTTGAAACAGACAAAAATAATTGAAGTTGATGCCTACCAAACCAATGCAATTGCAGCGTTGAGCGGCTAGCACTTTTAAAATGTAGTAGTGTTACTACTACAAGCACAAAATATGAGTTGATACCAATGACATTCACTCTTTTCAAAAGAAAATGTAACATGATCTAATTCTGTCAACATATAAAGAAGACTATTTCAACAATATATTATGAGAATTACAAGAGAAATATAAGAATAGAATACTATATATGTCTCTAAAATGCTCGAATACCTCGGTGTAAAACCTAATTCACGACCCTTCTCAATAAAATTGCATATTCAAACATTAATTGAAAGGTCCCAATTTTAAATTTTAATGCCACTATTTATATTAAGATCCAATTTTGAGTTGGAGTTCAATGAAATTTGAGTAATTGTAATCTAACCAGAGTTATGAATTATTTGAAAGTTGAAAGTTAATTCGTATAAAAAAATTAGATTTTTGAACAAAAAATTATATTGCATATAAAATCTATACAATAAAGTAGCTAGAATTTGTTTGTCTTTAGCTTTTCGCGGTTGAGATTGTTTTAATATTATTGATCCAATGGCCAAAACTACTCCAAAATATTTTCTTATCCAACAATTTCAAAAGACCTCTAATTCTAGGACTCTTCGAGACTTATCTTAACCTCACATACGTCTCTCAACCTCCTCTCATACAGCTGCGTCTCACAATGTCTCTCTCATAACTTCTCTCTCTACCAACGCTGTCAGCCTTCGACATCATCACCGCCACTGCCAGCCATCGTCACCGTCACCGCCACCAATATCAAGTTTTGCTCGCTTTTTTCTATATTTATGTTTCTCTCCTTCTTTGATTGTCTTCCTCTTCCTCCCAGCCCCTGTGTACCATTGTCACATTGGTTGTGAGTGTACCACGACAATTTTGTTTCCCTGACTTTAATTGTATTGTATTCAATTGTATCTTGAGTCCCTGTTATGAAAGTGGACCTTTGCATGATAATAAGGTGGGTATGTGATGTCCATTAGACTAAGCCCCTTTTTACTTCATTACCATTGAAATTATTGTTGTAATTTTGTTTTTACTTTCATTTAGTTGGTTTTTATAACTGCTCTTTTTTTTATTGTGTTTTTAATTTGCTAGCCTACATTGTTAATCATGGGTTTATGTACTAATGTCATATGGATGATCGTATTATTTGGCATTGAAGAAATGAATGCAATCCTACTAATTGTTTGATACTCTATGATGAATATAATCCTATTAACAAACTTTTGTTCTTGACAAAAGGATTCTTTCTTTAATTTGACTTCATTTCATTTTTTCATATTAAAAGTTTTGTGTTGTGGTCACCACTTGCAGCACATGTAGCTACGATACATAAGTAGGTTATTTGTTATTAGGAACATGTTATTACCTTTAACTGTCTAATTTGTTGCACTCAGGTTGACGTCCTTTATTATTTTTTGTTATTCTTATGTTAAATATATTTCAACCTAAAACATAGTTCTACTTCTTTCTTTTGCAATTTAATTGTGTTTAATTATAAGTTAAGCTTATTGATTTATCTTCTAATGAGAGATATTTAGTTATATACGACTCTAAGTCATGATTATAGACAAGTAATTCTTCATATATTTTTACCAAGTTCATCCTTTTAATTTAATTTGCTTGGCTCAAGGTAAGATTGAACTCTTTTATTGTTTCTCATTACCTGTGCTTGAGGTAAATGTGTACCATTGTCACATTGGTTGTGAGTGTACCACGACAATTTTGTTTCCCTGACTTTAATTGTATTGTATTCAATTGTATCTTGAGTCCCTGTTATGAAAGTGGACCTTTGCATGATAATAAGGTGGGTATGTGATGTCCATTAGACTAAGCCCCTTTTTGCTTCATTACCATTGAAATTATTGTTGTAATTTTTTTTTTACTTTCATTTAGTTGGTTTTTATAACTGCTCTTTTTTTTATTGTGTTTTTAATTTGCTAGCCTACATTGTTAATCATGGGTTTATGTACTAATGTCATATGGATGATCGTATTATTTGGCATTGAAGAAATGAATGCAATCCTACTGATTGTTTGGTACTCTATGATGAATATAATCCTATTAACAAACTTTTGTTCTTGACAAAAAGATTCTTTCTTTAATTTGACTTCATTTCATTTTTTCATATTAAAAGTTCTGTGTTGTGGTCACCACTTGCAGCACATGTAGCTACGATACATAAGTAGGTTATTTGTTATTAGGAACATGTTATTACCTTTAACTGTCTAATTTGTTGCACTCAGGTTGACGTCCTTTATTACTTTTTGTTATTCTTATGTTAAATATATTTCAACCTAAAACATAGTTCTACTTCTTTCTTTTGCAATTTAATTGTGTTTAATTATAAGTTAAGCTTATTGATTTATCTTCTAATGAGAGATATTTAGTTATATACGACTCTAAGTCATGATTATAGACAAGTAATTCTTCATATATTTTTACCAAGTTCATCCTTTTAATTTAATTTGCTTGGCTCAAGGTAAGATTGAACTCTTTTATTGTTTCTCATTACCAGTGCTTGAGGTAAATGGGACTTTGAACTTTTTGAGTTTGGAGATTTGAACATTGTTTCAAAGATATATTTAGTTTATTTCAATTCCTATTAATAGACATTTTTATGATACCATTTAGTACGTATCAATATTAGGAATTTTTGGGCTTCAAGCTCTGCTTGAACTTAATTTTAATAGAGTAAAATAATATACTCTCAAAGATCTCCAAAGAGGGGCAGGAGGTTTTTGTTTGGGTGATTGATATCCTAGCAATGATAGTTAGTAATAATTGAATTGCTTTGGATATTTTGTTTTTACTTTGATCTTTTAGACTGCTGATGGTGGTGATGGTAGTTAGCAATTTCATGGTGGTGTTTTGTACCCCCTGCTGGCTGTCATGTTTTATGATGAGAAGATTTAGTTTTTTTGGGTTTATTAATTATGATTTCTCTCTCTCAAACTCCATTTTATATATTTTGAATGAAGGTTCCACATTGCAGTAGTATTGCTATATATTGTCACCGAGCATCAGTGGATCCTTTCATTATTATTATACTAGATATTGTCTAAGCATGGTTGTGTGCTATTAGCTAAGTACAATATGTTAGTAGTATAGGTATTGGTGAATATATTGTTGGAGTTGGAGATATAATTGATTATGAATATTGAAATTTTGACCCTTAAACTCTCAAATAAATTTTACACATGGATTATTTAAGATATAATTGATTATGAATGGTGAACATGTTTTTTTCCGCAGATGTTGATTCATGCATGACTGTAGCGTGATTGTCTTCAAATAAAGTTTGATTATACATGTTTTGTATACAAGTTGATATTATTCAAATGCCCTATTTTTAAAAGATATTTTGTCAACAAATTTTTAAAATATTAGTGAGTCATATATATATTGTTGATCATCATAAATGAGTTATACATCACCTTTGCACATGGACAAATATTTGTAATTTTTTAACAAGTTACATAGTGCCTTCAGACACGAGCAATTACTAGTATAAAATATTTCACCTAATACTCATAAAATACATATTAAATTATAGATTTAGTTTCAGATTCAATTACAATCAAATTGAATTTCATAAATAACTTATACCTCCATTCGGACATGTTAAAAGTTATTTTTTTCTTTTTTTGTTCAATCGGCAATGTGTGCCAAACTTAACAAGAACCATAGTAAAACATTTGTTGAGGGTTGTATGCAAGTCTGTTAATGGATGGGATTTCATCCAAAACAATCAAAAATAATTATTTTTTATCGTTAATTCAAATTTAGATTTGAATCTATTATACTATAGCTTACCAAAAAAATTAAATTTTGGATATATTATTATCTAATCCGGTTGTGATTCTATTTGAATTATTTTTGTAATTATACAGCTAGAAGGTAAATTGGTAGAATATTTGTTGAAGTTGACTTGAAATTCAGTATTTCACTAATGTTCAGCTAAATTAAATTAATTAAATCAGATCATTTTTTTAACTAAAATTTTGATTTTCACAAAATTTGAATATAAACTAACCCATGGAATCTTTGAGACAAATTCAAACAAGAGTTTTTCAATCATATTCAGATTCGGATCAATTGAAATCTAAGCGAAGAGAGACTTACTATCTGTCTTAGTGAAGCAAACTACAGTCCAAACCAAAGTCATGGATGTCATCATCATCTTCAGTCTAGTCAACCCATTCTATAGAGATCATTGGAATCCATTCCGGGACCCGTACCAAACAAACTCTGATTATAATTCAAAAATGCACAAATTAATTGAAAAGATAAACCCTGAGAACGTTGAGGTTCAAGAAAGAAGAATCCTCTGAATCCTTTTGCAGTCTTACCTTTTTTGTTTTCCTCAGTTTATTAAATTTTTTCTTTTTTCTTCGTCGGTATGTCCGAACTAATTTCATTAGAGAATATAAAGTATCTATTGTTGCTCTGCAGTACCCAAAGTTGCTCAAGAGTTGTAAATTTTTAATTTGATTAAAAATTAATAAAGTATTATACAATAATCAAAAAAATTTTTTTACTCATGTTAGCATTTAATCTATATATATCTATACTACTAATAAAAGTACCTTAATATGAAAAATTTTTGATTCACTATTTTGCTCTTATAAAAAACTATAAAGACAAGCATGTCCTTTTGTATTTAAATATACAAATTATCATTATATCCCTTTGTATTTAAATAATAAATCAATCTCTAACATATCATGTAAATCTTTCTATCTTAGAAAAACTTTTGAATGGTCATGTTATGATTAACATGATATATAAAACATTATTATGTTTTTCCAAAACGACAATATTAATACACGTTAACAACTCTATTGATATAACATCATCTCTAATGCCCAAAAATAAATATATTTATTTTATCTCTTCATTCACAACTAAAATAATTTAGTAAAAAATTATTGATGCCCAAAATAAAAATAAGAAAGAAAAAAAGAAAAAAAATCGAGAAAATAAAAATCTATAATCTTTACTACTTGATAACTCGAATGAAAGAATCACAGCAAATAAGTCTACTGAATGTTTATAGTTATGAAGAAAATACACATAATTTAAGTATGATAAATATGAAATAATATCTAATGTAGATGCATAATTATTTTTTTTTATGTATTTTATCTAATATTTCAACAAAAATTTTCACGTGCAATGCACATCGTACATTGCTAGTTATATTAAAAGTAGAGATACTAGAGTAAAAAAAAAATATTTTTTAGTAATGTTGCTAGCACTCATAATTAAGTGCATAATAATCATCATCTTAGACTTAACAAGCTCAATCCTTAATATGACCTCAACACAAACTCAGCACCTTAGGCAATGACCGAATCAAAGCCTTTAAAAGAGGGGGTAATCATTATTTGTTACGAGCAATTTTACTTATATCTAATTTTTTAATATAATTATTTATAACTATTGAATTGACAATGAATCTAAGTCTCAATAATTATTCAGAAACACAATCAATCAATTCAATTAAATCAATATAGCATTATTGATTTGTTACAGCCGCTCAATGTACAGCCAAATACCGCGACAGATAAAGAATTAGATGTCAATGACTCAATCCTAGAGATCCGGCGATAGTTTTTCCCCATGGCCCCACCTCTGATTAAAGCTCGTCAACGAAATAGACATGAATCAAATTTTTAATGTTCTAAATTTAAACCCTATTTAAAAAATAAATCAGACTTTATTTTTATCTAACTAATTTAATTAAAATTAATTTAAACAAATCCCACTTACATTTTAACACAATTTTTATCAAATGATCACTCATTACAAAATACGTTTAATCCATTATAATCACATGGAATGTTAATAAATCAAAATCCGAAGAGTATGATAGAACCAATTCATATTGAAATTTGTTCAGATTAAAATTCAATCCATGGACATACCTATCTATAAAACTCCTCTAGTAAAGAATCCCACATGTTAAATGGTTGCCATGCCTTGGGCCTGTCTAAGGCACAAGCCGAAGGCATTTTGGGGGAAAACCTTGTTCTTGATGGGAACTGTCAAACAAAAATAAGAAAAAACAAACACACCGTGTATCAAGTGTTTGTCTTATATAACTTATGATAATCATTAATCCAAACCGCATAATAATCACATGTCTAACACCTAAAAAAAACACTCTTTTTTTCTTGTTTGTATTACTAGACAGTGAATGACGACTTTAACGGTTCTGTTATATGTACCTTGTGAACACCAAAGGAAATGTCTTAAGCCAGGCAACTGTTCTTGTTATTAGCCCAAGGATCTTTTTTTATGTCAAAATAAAATGAGTTCTCGGTGAATATGCAAATCCTATTAAAGCAGTGCTCTGCTAGAGATCCGTCTCCTGGGACTTATCATTTGGTAAGTGATGTCTACTATATAGACTGCACTACATAGCATAGTCGACAATCTATTATCAGTTCTCCGCATAGTTTGCTCACAAAATTACACCAAAATAAATTGACTATCCATAGAACTTGGTAGAATTTTGCAGAGCTAACAATTGCAGACTCAATAAAACGGTTTTTTTAGAATACAATGCATGTTTATACCATATAGATGAATCTGGTTATTGTTCTGATGCATACAAAGAATGACTTTATTAAGTACATATTAGCTTTAGACATTATATTGCAAATCAAGCTCCTTAAATGAGACTATCAAGCTCTCCCTGTGGGGTTTAAGGAAGACAAAACACTACTACGTTGTTTATTTTATCCTATTACCTTGAGAAGTTGGAAAGACTACTATGTTCATCATACCTAAATCCAATCACAATTAACATTATTTAGTATATGATTACAGAGTCTCTGGCGAATAACCTAGTACCCGAGCTTTATCTCATCAGGTTCAAGGATCTACCCTTTACAAGACCCTCAGAAGTTGTACAACTGTTTATTGCAGACATAAACAACATAAGATCTTCAGCAGCCATTGTGTGGAACACCATGGACTTCCTTGAGCATTCATCACTGTCACAGCTACAACAACAATACCAAATTCCAAACTTCTTCATAGGCCCTATGCACAAAATAGCTCCAATTTCGACCACTAGTGTACTAAAGGAGGACAACAGCTGCCTTGCATGGCTCGACAAACAAGATCCTAACGCAGTTATATATGTGAGCCTGGGAAGCTTGGAAATGGTGAACGAGAAAGAGCTAGCTAAGATGACTCGGGACTGGACAACACTGATCAACCATTCTTGTGGGTTGCGCGGCCCCAGATTAGTTGATGGCTCAAAAGTCTCCGATCAATGTCTTGAGCTCTTTCAACGTTTTAAAGAAAGAATCATAGGAAGAGGTCTGATTGTAAAATGGGCACCTCAAAAGGAGGTTCTGACACATAGTGCAGCGGGAGGATTTCTGAGCCACTGCGGTTGGAATTCCACCTTGGAAAGTACATGTGAAGGGGTTCCAATGATATGCAGACCAAAAGGTGAATGCTAGGCACCTCATTCATGTATGGAGGGTAGGCCTTGAAATAGATCCTGTTCTGGAGAGAGAAGGAATTCAAAGAGCTATAAGAAGCCTCATGGTGGAGAAAGAAGGGGAAGAAATGCGGCAGAGAGCAATTGATATGGGGCAAAAAATCAACGGTTGTGTGCAGAAAGGGGGTCCTTCCTACAATTCTTTGAACGACTTGGAAGAGTTCATCTGACTGCCAAAACGACATGGCCATGTTGATTGAGTGTTGAAGCGACATGATAAAACAACCCAGTGAAATCTACTCATTCTATAAGTTGAAGGAAAATGTCTAGACCCTCTCTATGTCCTATGATATTATAAAGCAAGTGTATTCCATGTCCAATGTCAACTAAGGGAAGGTAGATACTACCGCGTACTTTTTGTTTCTGAACAGGTATGTACACACACACACACACACATTGTTGATGCAAAAGATCGATCAATCACAACACAAAATAAACACCAAAAATCATCCAAAAAATTACTAAACAAATTCAAAGACCTTACTCGTGAACTATCTCGAATTTCTCTTCGTCTGAGAACTGAAGTAGAAATATTGACCAAAAAAAAAAAAGAGAACTGAAGTAGAAACACAAGCTCACTGTTAGGCGAAGAAATCCGTTTCATCGAACCTCCAAAACCTCACAGCTCCGCCGAAATCCAGTAATTGGTGACACTTCAAAAATTAACATATATGGAGCAAATTAGGGTTTTGAAAACCAAATTCATCTCATAATCAAATCAAACCAAATAATTCACACACAAATATGTAACTGAGGAATGGTTTCCACCTTCGATACACTTAAATAGAGAGAAAAAGCATTCATATCGGAATTTGTAGAAGACGAGGACGACGACGGCAACGATTAAGGTAGTTCGTGGAGCCGCGCCAATTGGTGTCAGAGATTAACAGGAGAAGGGAGGGGTTTTTTTCCTCTGGCAGTTAGAGTGTGTGTGTGTGTGAGAGAGAGAGAGAGAGAGAGGTGTTCAACCGACCGACTGAAAACCTACCAAACCACCTCGTTTTTGTATATAATTATTTATACATTACTTGACTTTATCAAATTAGATTACATTATTAAATTTTAATTATATCGAGAGTACAATGCGAGAATTATAATATTTTTTTAAAATATAACTTAAAAATTTTCATTTAAAGTGTCACTAGTGGGACTCCGTGCAAAGCACGACTATGTATTCGTCAACTCAACATTTATGAAAATAAAAAGTAATCATTTATCAGCAAGGTGAAAATTTTCATATATTTTTATTCATCTAATGTTAAAATTCAATTACAAATGACAACATAAAATGTCTCTAAATATAAATGTATTTAAATCAAATTGACCCAACTATATAACATTCATAAAAAATATATGTATATATCTACTACAACACTTCACTAAAATTATCGATGTTGCCTTTATTCTCAAAATAAATACCTTCATATTTAAAAAAATTGGATGATTTTTGCTACAATATCCAAATAAATGCGTAATATTTTATTGCAAGAAATGTTGTTAAAAAATTCAAATAAATGTAATCCTAATTAGAGATAAATTTAGTTCAAATAAATTGCATGAAAAATATGTATGGACCAATAGTAATGCCACATATTAGATTTTAAGAAAGTTAAATAATACAAAATTCAAGAAAATAGGATTAAGGTTTTGGAGACGTCTCCTCGTTTGTAGGCATATTCAAATAGTATATAGAGATTCGAGCACAAAAAAAAATTAAAGAGTAGATCAAAATTGGATTTTTTAATATTTTGTAAAGCAAAAAAAAAAAAAATTACATTAAATTATCTAGAATTTTAAAAGACGTTGATTCGAGATGGAGGATGAGAAACCAGAGTGGGGTGTGGGCTAAGGTAAGGATGTTGTTCCCGGCACAACGTTGTACACGAGGAGCGTCTGTGCACCACCCCTAGTCTCATTTATTCATCTCATCTAGTCAAGATGATATTTTTATAACTGGTCCACATTAATAAACAAGTTGATCCTTTTGCAGACACTACGAATTTAAAACAGCATTCTATCATGATCCAAGGAAACAGACCATGCAGAACCTTGCTCATGAAGAGATGGATCCAGCAGAAAAACTTAGGTGTTATCTGTCTTCTTCCCCCACACCCAGTTACATCATTTCAGATGTCAGCAAAAAACTTCACAACCACCTCGCCATAAATATTCATTTGTCCTGATGTATTAAGGTTCGCCCCTTGTGATTGAGTTTCCAACCGAAGTGGTTGACCGATCACACACACAGGGTTTGAATTCTTTGATGTCTCTGTTCTGTGGAGAAAGAGAGTGAAATTTTAAGCTTCCTCCAAGGTTTTGAAACCAAGGCAACCACTTTCAAGAGAGAGAGATGGGAAAACAAAGCACAAAAAGAAGCCAGAGAGTGTTGTTAATACCAGGTCCATTCCAAGGGCACATAACTCCAATGCTTGAGCTAGGCACCACCCTTCATTCCAAGGGCTTCTCCATTACAGTTGCACACACGATCTTCAACTCTCCCAATCCTTCTAACCACCCTGATTTTGTCTTCCTGCCCTTATCAGACAATCTATCTGGCGCTGATATTTCCTCTCGAAGTCTGATAGCTCTCATGAAAACTATCAATACCAACTGCCAAGTGCCACTCCGGGAAAGCTTGGCTCAGATTATGGAAAATCCGGAGCCATATGACCAGGTCGTATGCATAATCTATGATACTATCATGCCCTTTGCAGAAGCTGTGGCTAACCATCTGCAGCTTCCAAGCATCATTCTGCGCACCAATAGCGTTTCAGCCACGATAGCTTACGAGTCCCTCCCTCGGCTCCAAGCAGCAGGTTACATTCCTCTGCAAGGTATGCATACAGCTGATATTTTCTGAAAAACAAAAATCTGTGTGAGACTTTGTATCGCTCAATATCAAACAACGGAAAAACATAGTCGGCCTGTGCTAATTGCTATAATGCATACCCAAAAGCCCTCCAACCCACCACCATAATGCAAACGACCGGCAGTGCCTAGTGGTGACATATGGGGCTTACTAAAAAATATTATAACAAAGAATCATAACTGAAATTTTGTTTTTGCCTAGGAAAGATTAGAAATGGAGAGACAAAATTTCCGGGAAAAACAAAATTAATGAAGATAAATCCACATTTATGAGATGGCTAATTTAATTATGAAATAAAACTTTCTTTCGACGTCCTTCAGCTTCTAAATGCATCATGTCATCTTTCCATCAATTCTAATGTAGGATACATGACTTAATACAGTACAATTTAGCTTTTAGTTGGATGCCCTGCTTTGTGTCACTACATTTCTATTGTTTCGTAATACATAAAATTTGTTACATCTAATTTGACAATCGGCTATGTGCCCACTGTCTAGATGTTAAGAAAAACAGAAAAAGTAACAGTAAAATTTGATCAAACTAGAGGTCATCAGCAAACAAGTTTGTTTATCCATCTTAATTGACTTATTACCCGTAGATGATCAGCCCCTCTTATCAATAGCATCAAGCATTACTTCTACGACCAGAATGAAATATGAACTGTTTAACAATATATGTTCACCCCTATTCTATTTCTGAGTTTGATCAGAACTTGATACCATTATTATCTGGTACAAAATTACTGATAAAACGGCACTGATAAACAACAATACCTATGTATATTCCAGACTATATGTTGCAGGATTTAGTGCCTGGCCTTCAACCCCTAAGGTTCAAGGATCTGCCAATATCCAAATTTGGAACGTTGAAAGAATCACTAGAGATGATTGCAGATATAAGCCATATAGGAACTTCTTCGGCCATCATTTGGAACAGCGTGGACTGCCTTGAACCTTCAGCACTAGCACAGCTAAAGCAACACTCCCAAGTTCCGTTATTCACAATAGGCCCTTTGCACAAAATGGCTCCAGCCTCGTCCACTAGCTTAATAAAAGAGGACACCAATTGCTCTGCATGGCTTGACAAGCAAGCTCCGGACTCAGTCATATACGTAAGTCTAGGGAGCTTGGCATTGATGGATGAGAAAGAGCTAGCTGAGACAGCTTGGGGACTGGCTAATAGTGGCCAACCATTCTTGTGGGTGGTTCGACCTGGCTCAGTCCATGGCTCAGAATGGATTGAAAATTTGCCAGAAGGTTTTAAAGAAGCAATTGAACATAAGGGTCACATAGTGAAATGGGCACCACAAAGGGAGGTGTTGTCACATGGTGCAGTGGGGGTTTTTTGGAGCCATTGCGGCTGGAATTCGACATTGGAAAGTATCTGTGAAGGAGTTCCAATGATATGCAAGCCATACTCTGGAGATCAAAAAGTGAATGCAAGGTACCTAACTGAGGTATGGAAGGTTGGCTTACCCTTGGAGGGTGTTTTGGAGAGAGGTGAAATTGAGAGAGCCATAAGAAGACTCCTGGTGGATAAAGAAGGGGAGGAAATGAGGCAGAGAGCAACAGATATGAGGGAAAAGTTGAAGCTCAGTTTGAAAAGAGATGGGTCTTCATACAATTCATTGAATGACCTAACAGAGTTCATCTTATCATTGCAATTGCCAAAATGAAAGCCACATTAGGCTTTCTAAGTTTTTATCACAATTTGAAGCTCTAAGTGGAATGTGAGGCAAGAACTTCAATAATCAAAATGTACTATTACCACTAATGACTCATGGTATTTAAGTTGTCATAATGCTTCTTGCCCCAAATTTATTGATTTAATTTACTAAAATATTGTCATCGTTGGATTTGATAGTAAACCCATAAAAATGAAGACTTGTGATAAATCCCAGCAGCAGATTAACATTGATCTCTGAGAAAATTACACCCAAACTGTTTAAGGTTTGTCACTTAATCACTCAAATCCTCTAATACTTAAAATATTACACACATGACCCCTTAAAGTTTGTACGCGCATAATATTTATATCCCTGTTGTAAATATATCTATTAATAAATTATACTCAGACCCTCTGAAGTTTGTAAACAACTATTATTTGGACTCCTTAAGTTTAAAATATTATATTTAAACCAAAAATACTTCAATCAAAAATAAAATATCATATATTTTAAATTTTATAATTAAAATTCATGTTCTATTGTGTAAGCAATTGCATCATACAATTAAAATCTACTACTATAATCTATCATGTTCTCTTAGCCGTAATAATCAATTAAAAACTAGAATGACTAGCCGATGACGAGATAAAATTATTATGCATAAAAAATTCAAGAGGACGACTAGAGGCAGAAGACCAGGAACTCAGTTTAAATGGCTACAATCTTGCTTGCCAGTTGCATTAAGGCTTCCTCATAGCTATTAATATGGAGAAACGAGAAGAGAGTTGTGGCCGAATGGTTCTGGTCCCATATCCATTCCAAGGACACATAAATCCAATGCTTCAACTTGGTGCCATCCTTCACTCCAAGGGCTTCTACATCACAGTTGCTCACACAGATTTTAACTCCCCCAATTCATCCAAAAACCCTAATTTCACCTTCCTACCCATACCAGATGGCTTGTAGCTTACGAACAGAGGACACCAAATACATTTCATGGCTAGACAAGCAAGCTCCAAACTCTGTCATCTATGTGCACATCGGCAGTGTATCTGTTGTTTGTGGTATTCCAAATATAATAAAATCACTTACTAAATTTTTTGATTTGAAATGTGTAATATATAACAAAACAGTATCAATAAAGTCTGAAACAATTACACAAAAAATGAAAATAGTTACAATAGTCTTAACGAAATAGTTACACATACTTAATGAAACAGTTACACGTAATTGTTTGTCAAATCAATATAAATACTAACTCGATTGTAAAACATGAACTGTTATTGAACTTTAGGTAGATCAAGACTAGTGTTTGACACTATGTCCTTAAGACAGATTTCGCCCCCACACACGGTGCTTATAGAATATAAAACGTCTACCTCTCAAGATTCAATGATCTTCACACGAGTAGAAGTAGCTCTTCAATCTACTGGTCCAGCAAACCAGAAATTGTGTTGTGTACTCTCCAAAATGCAGACGGTCTTAATGATGTATGAAACTGCCTTAAATTACTAAGAATGTATTAGATGAATTAGATACAAAATGATTATGTGACTGAGTTATTTATAGAGAGAATGATGACTGATTCAGACAGTCACCATCTGAACGGATGCAACCCAACAGTCACATGAAGCCAGAAGACATCACTTGTATAACTGTTCTTTATGAACAGACACAATTCAAATTTTGGACTGGAGGGAAGTAACAAATCTGAACCAGTGCAAATTAAAATCCAACAAGTACTGAAAATTAAGTTTTTGGTTAAGAAATTCACGCCCAATTCATTAAAATGAATTTTCTCCAAAAAGATAGGGCTTGGTCTAAAACACACTCACACCCACACTCGAGCCCTGCCCGATCCGAGCCAGGTGGGCAACGCGTGTATGGTAGAACTGAGGGTATGTAGGCGTTCGCTCCACTCATAAAATTGTGGTACCTCTTGGGGCCTAATCCCATAGCGCAAATTTGGCCTATTTATGTCCATCTAGAACTTCTTCCTCAACTAATGCGGGATTGATGTCAAATCTCACATTACACAACCTTTATTTTCACATTTCAAGAATGTCACTTTGGAGCCTATTTTTTCATTCCTTTTTTACTCGGTTTGAGTAAGTGAATATACTACATTATTCTCCTTATGAAGTAGAATATGAACCCATTAAAATTTACTTAAAACAACAAATATGTCTCAATTTAATTTAAGCTCAAAGTCGACCAAATATTTAATTTTTACACTTAAGAAATTATTTTGTGAAACTGCTTTGGTCCAACAGTAGCTTCCATTAATGAAGGGGAATTCGTTGAGATAGCTTGGAGGCTAGCCAACGGTGAGCAGCCTTTCCTGTGGGTGGTTCAGCCAGGTTTACCTCCGGGCACCGAGTGGATATCATCGTTGCTGGAAAGTTTCAAGGATAAGCGATTGAAGAAAGAGGTTGTGTTGTAGAATGGTCACCACAGAAGGAAGTGTTGACACATGTGGTGTAGTGCGAGGATTCTGGAGCTATTGCAGTTGGAACTCAAGGACTTCCCTTTCAACGAAGCACCGTCTTCGATCCATTTTCGCTCGACATTTGGGAACCTTCCGGGAATCTTTAAAGAAGAAATAAAGGTCAAAATCGAAGATGATGGAGTTCTTCAGATTAGCAAAGAGAGGAATGTGGAGAAGGAAGACAAGAACGAGATGTGGCACCGGGTCGAGCGAATCAGTAAGAAGTTCATGAGGAGGGTTTAGGCTGCCTGAGAATGTGTAGATGGATCAGGTCAAGGCATCCGTGGAAAACGGAACACTTATTGTTACTATTCCCGAGGATGAAGTCAAGAAGGTTGAGGATGCGTTTGATAACGTTTTTCGCTTTTATGTTTTTTTTTTTGTAATAAAAATTAAAAATATAAAACATATTTGGTAGTCATTTATATTTAAAAAACTTGTTTGGTATTATACCAAAAATTCACCACCCAACCCCACTGACTACCCAAAACCACCACCCCAACCCCACCATCGAACCCTTCTATCTTGCTTTCTCTTCTTCCTTTTCTTCTTTGCGGCGATTTTGTTGGGATCGAGCTTGGGTTGTGCGGCCTGTTGAATAGACCGAACATATTTATGAACATTTTTGCTTTTGTTCTTGAGCCCAAAGGTCTTATCTTCTAAAAACTTTTTGTTTCTTCGCCAAGTTCGCTTTCGATTGCTACTTTGGAGGCATAGTTGATTGGCAATTGGTAAATTTTAACTTTGTTTTATACAAATACAGGACTTGAAAGATGAAGATATTTTTCGATCTATGAACAATTATTAGGCTTTTATTGAAATTTTAGAGAGAGAGAGATCTCCCCCACCACCGAAACCCACCCCTAACCCCACCACCGAAACCCACAACCCACCCACACCACTAAAACTCACCACCACAACCATCGAAATCCACCACCATCGAAACCCCACCACTGAAACCCATCACCACAACCACCGAAATCCAACCCTAATCCAACAGCTGAAACCCTCCCCACCACCACTGAAACCACAACTACCAAAACCCACCCCCATAACCATCGATGGAGTGCTAGCTTGATATCTGAAGGAGATGGAGATGGAGTGCTGGCTTGAGATGTGAGAGCTCCTTCATTTGGTAACATTTTGTTGTTGGCCTCATGAGAGAGATGAACGAGAGAGTGTGAGAGACGAACAAAGAGAGAGAGAAAAAAAAGGCAAAAAGGGGGTAAACAATGCTTTTATAGTGGAAATGAAAGAAACTATTTTCTTGTCGTTAATGGAGTTCGAATGCTAAACCTCATTAAATGGTTCCAAGAGACGCATGTGTTTCCGTTACCCGTGTTTTTAAAAACATCTATTTTGATGTTTTCAAAATTTGGGATTGTTTACAAAACAAACCAACCAAAAAAAAAAAACACTTTTCAAACATGTTATTGTTTTCTTTTTTTTTTTTTTTTGCAAAAAGTGGAAAAAAAAAAAAACACAAATACATGGTTACCAACTAGGCCCTAAGATTTCAAATTTCTATTTAGAATTTCGCTCTTATTCAAGAATGATGTCAATGTAGAAATAGCAATAACATAAAAAACCAGGGGAGATATAGAAAAATGTTGAAAAATTTATGGTTTTATGTAAAAGTCAAAAAAGAAAGAATAATTTCGAGTATTATGTAGAATGTGTTTGATGACCTTTTGTTATAATGTATTGAAAAGTTGAGGTATGGTATTGAAAATGAGCAGTGTTATTGGATTCTAAGAAATCGATCTAAATTATTGAATTAATGATATGATATTAACATAGTTTAATAGTGTTATTGTGATCGATTTATATCTTTTAAACAAGAACCCCGACTTTTAAACTTTTGTCCTAGTCTTGACTTATAAACTGATTATAACCGTCAAAAAAAAATTTATTAAATTTTTTCACTTAATATATTATTATATCAACAAATTAAATTATTTTACAAATTCTAATAGTATCGTAAAAAATAACACTAAAGAAAGGTGTGTTGATACCAATTCCTAGATATCTAAGAGGAAAATATTGCATAATGCTAGGAGACATCTTCGATAATTGTGCAAGGCAAATGTTTTTTTTTGACTTGATTAACCAAATACAAATTGTTTTCGCTTTGTAACTTGAGGATTTATCTGATTGTGTGGTCAGAATTGTTAAGTAAGAACAATATCGATGGATTAGGAGTTTAATTGATATTAGTTAATAAAAAGCTTGCTAATTTGAGAAATATTGTGGTTATGCATTGATGTTTGCATTATTTGCGTTGCTACATTTGCTGCCTACCTCCTCATAGTTTATGCCCACAAGTTCTTATGTTAGATATATATATATACTAGGAATAATCCGTATCTGAAGGCACGATGTAACTAAAAAAAATCGAACATTGAATTTGAACGCGAAATAATCAAGCACTAAACTCGGACACGTACTAAACTGAAAGCCTAAACTCACATGTCTGAAGACAATGTACATATAACTCTTAAACACGAAATAATCAAACAATGAATATAAACATGCATTCTGTTATGTGTGCGCTGCTCTGTGTGTGTGTGTGTGTTTGCGTCCATTTAGTACTTGGAAAAACCCAAAACTCGTCAAAAAGTAAGATAGTCCACAAAACAAACCAAATTAAATAATTGAACAATTAAAGCTAATTTAAACTACCGCATAATTTAAACTAACTCATAATAATTTTAACTAATTAAAGCTCAAACCAACAATTAAAGCTAATTGAACAATAAGCATAGGTACCGCACAATAATTTAAACTAATTAAAGCTCAAACCAAGAATTAAAGTTAATTGAACAATAAGCCTAAATCCAACATAAGTTGTATTCTTCTCTGTCCACAACCCTTTTTCTACAACCTACATTACTTTGTGATCAAATTACAATATTATACAAAACTGAATTAGCAATTCAAGCAAAAGAGAAAGCCAAAAGAAAGTTAACTAAACCCAAATCAGTAGTCTAATAGTCAGAAGCCTGATAAAAAAAAACAACAACAACAGCTTGCTGCTATAATGGCCTAACAGTTAACAAATTGGATATGTAGCATATGAACTATATAATTTTTTTTTATTTTTTTTGGGTAAGTAATGAACTATATCATTGTTTAAGGAAATTCAAGTCAATTCTTCTTGGTAGATAAATTCAACATTCTCAAGTACTTTGGTAATGCCAAAACCAAAGGGGATCATTCTTTGACTCTGTCTGAGATGAAGAGCTATCAATGCGTCACTACTGAAAACATTTCCAACTACCAAGAATGAGAAAAATGCACATTATGTCACTATATAAAGGCTGATATTTAAGAGATGATCCAAAGAAAAATTGAGCAGAAACACATTAATTGCTGAAAGGTGCAAGGGCACCTAATTTGCAGATGAATTAGTCTTCAACTATCATCAATTATGAAAGCAAGAAAAGTATTGTTGAAAACTATCACCATCAGTTGATTCAAAGTTTACTCCTAGACAATACAATCTAATATATTCATAGAATAAAAACTTACTGCAACCCTAACAAAATTGACTCAAAAGTCATGAAACAATAGAATTTGGTCCAATCAAAGGGACCTACAAACATATGCCCCTAAGAATGCTCAATAGTCACCAGAGTTAGAAGAACTACAGTATAGAAGAATTATAAAATTATCAGTACCTAAACAACACCAACTCATGAAAATTGTTTAAAAGGCCAACGAAATCTCAGATCCGATAATCATAGAAGAACCAACATTAATGGAACATCAAGTCACTGGTCAATGACTCAATGGAACATCAAGTCAGGTTGTGTGGAGGAAGTTGACTATCTAGATTACACATTTCTACACTTGATAAGAGAAAGAGGGATAAAATTAATCAAAACTCTAGAGAAATGATATCTACGGCATAACCAATTTATGCAGACACATGATGTAAATGCAACACGCTGCCTGAAGCGACTGTGTGTGCGTGGCTGTAAATGTAGTCCAAGCAAAAGCGACTATGTGTGCGAACATTGCCTGTAAATACAGTCCAAGAAAAAGTGAAAAATATGTGTGTGTGTGGCTGTGATTTTTTTTTTTTTAACAGGTGTGGTTGTGATTCAGAGGGTGCCTTTGACAGAGAATGTATGTCAGGAGCATTTGATTGAATAGCTCGTGGGCATTTGAACAAAGAAAAAAACCAAACAAATAGAGGCGTATTAAAAAAATATGCAGACACATGATGTAAATGCAAACACTGCCTGAAGTGACTATGTGTGCGTGGCTGTAAATGCAGTCCAAGCAAAAGCTGTTGGTTTTTTGTATGGAGTCTAGTTTGTATATGTGATCCAGACGATAACTCGACCTGAAGTAATGTTGTGTAATTTTTAATGAATTTTTTTCTGAGACTTAGTCTATGGAGCGAAGGCTTGGGCTGATAGGCCCAAGCCGTAGCGCTCATGGACAAGCCTTGTGGGGGTTCGGGGGCAACGCCCCGAGGAAAATTTTTTTGGGCCCGTTATACAGCCCAGTGCGTAGGACTTATAAACCCTGTTGTTTTGGTGATTAGGGTTAATCGTGGATTGTACAGCCGCTCTCTGTATTCAACTCTCTCAATAGTGAAATCCCTGCAGCTTCGTGGACGTAGGCAAATTGCCGAACCACGTAAAATCTGTGTCTTGTTCTTTCTTGTTTCTTATTGTTTTATATTCTTGATTTGTTCTTCGATTGTGTGTGTTTGTTAGTGGATTTAAATCGTGTGAAATCCCAACAAAAGCGACTGTGTGTGCAAACACTACCATTAAATGCAGTCTAAGCAAAATTGAAAAACAAATATGTGTGTGTGTCGCTGTGAATTTTTTTTTTAACAGATGTGGTTGTGATGCCTTTGACAGAGAATGTATGTCAGGGGCATTTGATTAATTCTTCGGCATTTGGTCAAACACTTTTTGGGCACTGTGTCAAACCCCTTCCATGTGTCCTCTATGTGTGTTGAGCAGCGAAGAAAGATAGAAGCAGAGAGAGAAGGAAATACAAACATACTTGGCAACGGTGTTGAAGTGAGATTGAGATGGATTCTAGCAAATGGTATTTCTAAGGTTCCACTTCTCTGTCTGCCTTTCTCTTCTCCTTCTCTCTCTATGCCTTTCGTCTGTCTCTCTTTACTGTAGTCGTCCTAATGCCACTATTATGAGTGAGATTTGAGATTAGAAGAAGATTTGAGATGGATTCCTTGTGATAGAGGCGTGAAAGAGAGA